CGTGAAAAAGAGAGTGCCTCAGCTCCACCTGGGTCATCCCTTGCAGAGCCAAGCCACTCTGTGATGTACATTGACTTAATTGTTTGACTCCCGTAATTGTTATTTGATGTTTGTTGAGTGGTATCAGAGTTTTGTGTTATATTTTTATAGTAAAGAGATGTCAATCTCAAACGGTTGTTTGTTATCCCTCAGAAAACCATGGTCCTTGACTTTCCTTTATTAAGATCCTGATTAGTCTGATAAGGGATTTCTATCCCCAAAGTCCCAGGCCTTTACAACCACCAACAGTCACCCCTCATAGTGTGTGTGTCTAGACCACCAAGTCACCCCTCATAGTGTGTGTGTGTGTGTGTGTCTAGACCACCAACAGTCACCCCTCATAGTGTGTGTGTGTGTGTCTAGACCACCAACAGTCACCCCTTATAGTGTGTGTGTGTGTGGTGGTGAGTCAATAGATCGTCCTCAGACTGGAACACCACCAGACACTCGCCACAAGGATACAACTCAAAGGTATGCATGGAGATGTCCTGACAGAAGTTGTCATAGATGAGCTCTGGCTGATACCCATCACTGAACTGTGGTAAAGATCTATCTTGTATCACTATAGTTGTGTGTTGTGTTATGTTGTCTCCTGTGAGAGATGGGTCCTCGTTCATTAACTCTAAAGTATCGTCTGTGGTCAGTTGGTCTTGTCTGGTGTCTGTGTGAGCCGTGTCCTGTCTGGTGTCAGTGTGAGCTGTGTCTTGTCTGGTGTCTGTGTAAGCTGCATCTGTCTGTGCGTCAGGTTTGTGTGGTGAACAGAGGGCTGTAGTGTTGTGTTGTTTACGCATGTGTACCATAAGGCCGGACTTATTCCTAAAGAGACAGTTGCATATGTTACAGATGAGGCCGTTGTCTTGAGCTGATACCTGATGCATCTTCATGTGCACCTTCAGGTTCCAGTTGTTGAAGTGAGCAACACCACACACCTCACACCACCTTCTTCTCCTGTAGGTGCAGACATTTAACGTGCCTCTCCAAATGAGTCTTGGCCTTGAAGGTTTTGCCGCAACGATCGCAGGAGAATGGCCGGTCCGCGCCGTGGTTACGCGCGTGACGCTCCAAGGACGACCCGATGGCGAACTTCATCCCGCACAAGTCGCACTCGAAGTCCCTGTCGCCCCGGTGTCTCGCCTCGTGTTCCTTATGGTTGGAGTGGCACTTGAACTGTTTGGAGCAGAACTTGCACTTGTAAGGCATAAACCCACAGTGAACTTTGTTAATATGGAGCTTAAGTTTAGTGGCATCGGGCGCCTTGTACTCGCAGTAAGGACATGGCCCGCGCCTCTCTCCGCTGTGTTTCCAGATCTTGTGGTAATGAACTGCCTGACGTTGGGTGAATTCCTTCCTGCATTCATCGCATGAAAAACTGCTCCTCGACCCTGACACTTGACCGACTGTCCTCGACTTGCAACTGAGAATCTGCTTCCCACGATGACCAATATTCTGCCCACGATGACCGATATTCTGCCCACGATGACCGATATTCTGCCCACGATGACCGATATTCTGCTCACGATGACCGATACTCTGCCCACGATGACCGATACTCTGCCCACAATGACCGATACTCTGCGACTTAGGGCTAGACAACGCCGCTTGTTGGTGACCTTCATCTCCCTCTAGGGGCCTGGGGCTACTCTGGGGTTGGTTGAGATCTTCCTCACTCTCTGGGGAAGAATGTTAATGTATTAATAGTATGTGTTGGAGAGATGTGTTAATAGAATGTGCTGGAGAGAGATGTGTAACAGAGAGATGTGCAAGGATTGAGGTCACATCTCAAGTTGGTAAAGTGTCTATATGTTAAGTGTATGTCGAGTGACTGTTGAGTGACTGTAGCTAGGATGAGTGTATGACTGGTGAGTGCATACTGAGTGAGTGTATGAAAAGACAACAATAATGCATACTAGCAACAGTCAATACTAGCAACAGTCAATACTAGCAACAGTCAATACAAGCAAGAAGTCAATACTAGCAACAGTCAATACTAGCAACAGTCAATACTAGCAAGAAGTCAATACTAGCAACAGTCAATACTAGCAAACAGTCAATACTAGCAACAGTCAATACTAGCAACAGTCAATACTAGCAACAGTCAATACTAGCAAGAAGTCAATACTAGCAACAGTCAATACTAGCAACAGTCAATACTAGCAACAGTCAATACTAGCAACAGTCAATACAAGCAAGAAGTCAATACTAGCAACAGTCAATACTAGCAACAGTCAATACTAGCAAGAAGTCAATACTAGCAACAGTCAATACTAGCAAACAGTCAATACTAGCAACAGTCAATACTAGCAACAGTCAATACTAGCAACAGTCAATACTAGCAGTCAATACTAGCAACAGTCAATACTAGCAAGAAGTCAATACTAGCAACAGTCAATACTAGCAACAGTCAATACTAGCAAGAAGTCAATACTAGCAACAGTCAATACTAGCAACAGTCAATACTAGCAAGAAGTCAATACCAGCAAGAAGTCAATACTAGCAACAGTCAATACTAGCAACAATCAATACTAGAATAGCACAATACCAGTCAATACTACAGTCAATACTAGCAACAGTCAATACTAGAACAGTCAATACTAGCAACAGTCAATACTAGCAACAGTCAATACTATAAATGTCAATACTAGCAAACAGTCAATACTAGCAACAGTCAATACTAGCAAAAGTCAATACTAGCAAGAAGTCAATACTAGCAACAGTCAATACTAGCAAAAGTCAATACTAGCAACAGTCAATACTAGCAACAGTCAATACTAGCAACAGTCAATACTAGAAGAAGTCAATACTAGCAACAGTCAATACTAGCAACAGTCAATACTAGCAAGAAGTCAATACTAGCAACAGTCAATACTAGCAACAGTCAATACTAGCAAGAAGTCAATACTAGCAACAATACTAGCAACAGTCAATACTAGCAAGAAGTCAATACTAGCAACAGTCAATACTAGCAACAGTCAATACTAGCAAGAAGTCAATACTAGCAACAGTCAATACTAGCAACAGTCAATACTAGCAAGAAGTCAATACTAGCAACAGTCAATACTAGCAACAGTCAATACTAGCAAGAAGTCAATACCAGCAAGAAGTCAATACTAGCAACAGTCAATACTAGCAACAATCAATACTAGTTAATTCCACATAAACTTTCCCATCCGGAGTCCTAAACCTGCAATAAACCCCGTGATAATCCTGTAATAAACCTGTGATAAACCTGTAAAACCTGTCAACCTACTAACTAAACCCAAACAAACCCTAACCTAACCTAACCAAACGTAACTTAACCTGAAGGATAAAGAATAAATACATAATCTCAAGTTGTATTTATAGTAACAATAATCAGTTATGGTATATTAAACAACATTAAGAGACAATTATTACCTTTATTGACTTTACAGATTTTTAAAAGTAAGATTTTCCTCATTCTTGGTGTTTTGTTAATGTGTATAAGGATTTGTACAGATTTACAGTACAGATTTTTACTTTTGCTAATAGGTTAAGTTGTACAAATCTGTATTTAGAATTTTTACCCAAATTTAGTTTTATTAATTTTTCTCATAGCTGAGTAATAAATCTGACCAGTTGACAGATTTAAGCAGAAACATTAATGGTAAAATATAGCATAAAATCTGTATTGAAATCCTGTATTAGTTATGTGTTTATCAGTTAATGGGATGAATTAACAGGTGGAATAGTTACGTGTCAGGTCACGGGTCGTTGGTTTATGTAAGTGTCGGGTCATTGGGTTATGTATGTGTCGGTGTATGATATGAGAGGCGGTCAGTGTATGGTATGAGAGAGGCGGTCAGGGTATGGTATGAGAGGCGGTCAGGGTATGGTATGAGAGGTCAGGGTATGGTATGAGAGGAGGTCAGGGTGTGGTATGAGAGGTGGTCAGGTATGGTATGAGAGGCGGTCAGGATATGGTATGAGAGGTCAGGGTATGGTATGAGAGGAGGTCAGGGTATGGTATGGAGAGGAGGTCAGGTATGGTATGGAGAGGTCAGGGTATGGTATGAGAGGAGGTCAGGTATGGTATGAGAGGAGGCTGGGTATGGTATGAGAGGCGGTCAGTGTATGGTGGCGAGGAGGCGGTCAGGGTATGGTGGGGAGAGGAGGTCAGGTGGTAGGAGAGAGGAGGTCAGGGTATGGTGGGAGAGGAGGTCAGGGGTGGTATGAGAGGTGGTCAGGGTATGGTGGAGAGGAGGTCAGGGTATGGTATGAGAGGTGGCTGGTATGGTAAGGAGAGGCAGTCAGGTATGGTATGGAGAGGCGGTCAGTGTATGGTATGAGAGGCGGTCGTAGATGGTATGAGAGGTCGGGGGTGGGGTATGAGAGGAGGTCGGGTATGGTATGAGAGGAGGTCAGGGTATGGTAAGGAGAGGAGGCCAGGGTATGGTAAGGAGAGGCAGGGTATGGTATGAGAGGTCAGGGGAAGTGTGGTGAGAGGTCAGGTATGGTGGTGAGAGGAGGCTGAGTAGAGGTGAGAGGCGGTCAGGAGGCTGGTGAGGTCAGGGTATGGGTGGGAGAGGAGGCTGGGGGTATGGTATGAGAGGCGGTCAGGGTATGTGTGAGAGGCAGGGGGCAAAGAGAGGAGGTCAGGGGTATGGGTATGAGAGGTCAGGGTGGGTATGAGAGGTGGCCAGGTATGTATGAGAGGCGCTGGGGGAGAGGCGGCTGTGGGTAGTGGTGGTGAGAGGGGGCATGGTATGGAAGAGGAGGTCAGGGTATGGAAGGAGGAGGGCTAGGGGTAGCGGTAAGGAGAGGCAGTCAGGTATGGTAGAGAGGGGGTCAGGGGTTGAGAGAGGAGGTCAGGGTAAGGAGAGGCAGCTGGGGTATGGTATGAGAGGTGGTCAGGGTATGGTATGAGAGGCGGTCAGGGTATGTGAGAGGCAGTCAGGGGTATGGTATGGAGAGGCAGTCAGGTAAGTGTAAGGAGAGGGGTCAGGGTATGGAGAGGAGGCTGTGGGTATGGTATGAGAGGAGGTGAGGGTGGTGAGAGGAGGTAGGGGTATGGGTATGGAGAGGCGGCTAGGTATGGTAAGGAGAGGAGGTCAGGGATGGTATGAGACGAGGTCAGGGGTATGGTATGAGAGGTTAGTGCTTGGGTATGAGAGGAGGTCAGGGGAGTATGAGAGGAGGTCAGGGTATATGAGAGGAGGTCAGGGTATGGTGAGAGGTCAGTGTATGGTATGAGAGGCGGTCAGGGTATGGTATGGAGGCAGTCAGGGGTATGGGAAGGAGGAGGTGCAGGAAGGTGAGAGGTCAGGGGTATGGTATGAGAGGCGGGTCAGTGTATGGTAGTGAGAGGCGGTAGGGGTATGGGTATGAGAGGCAGTCAGGGGTGGGGTTATGAGAGGCAGTCAGGGTATGGTATGGAGGCAGGTCAGGGTATGGTATGAGAGGTGGCTGGGGTATGGTATGAGAGGCAGTCAGGTATGGTATGGAGGCAGTCAGGGTATGGTATGAGGAGGGGGTATGGTATGAGAGGCAGTCAGGGTTTGGTATGAGAGGCGGTCAGGTATGGGGAGGCAGTCAGGTATGGTATGAGAGGCAGTATGGTATAGAGGTCAGGGGTATGGTATGAGAGGCGGCTGGGGGTATGGGGAGGCGGCAGGGGTATGTAAGAGGCGCCAGTATGGTATGAGAGGCAGTCAGGTATGGTATGAGAGGAGGTCAGGTATGGTAAGGAGGAGGTCAGGGTATGGTAGAGAGGTGGTTGTGGGTAAGGGTATGAGGAGGTCAGGGGTATGGGTGAGGAGGTCAGGGTATGGAAGGAGAGGAGGTCAGGGTGGTGTATGAGAGGAGGTCAGGGTATAGGAGAGGGGTCAGTGGGTGGAGAGGAGGCTGGAAGGAGAGGAGGTCAGGGTATGGTATGAGAGGAGGTCAGGGTATGGTATGAGAGGAGGTCAGGGTATGGTATGAGAGGTCAGGGTATGGTATGAGAGGTGGTCAGGGTATGGTATGAGAGGTGGTCAGGGTATGGTATGAGAGGAAAGTGGGTATGACGGGTGGAAACACGTTCCCTCTCCCTCCAATGGGATGTTCCCGTCCCTGAAGCGCTGTGTGTTGGGAACCCTCCTTGGGTGGGTGTCGAGGTGTAGCAGCTAGACACTCCGGCGGTTGACAACGTGTGTCCCGTGCATACCTCGTTGTGGCTGTCATCCCTTCACTCGTTTCCAGAAAGGGTTTTCCTCATGGTAATGACAGCATCTCACCAAAGTCCCCCGTATCGCCTAATGTCTAAAGTTGCTCCATATGATCTTTCATATTCTGCATCATTGTCGTCAATTGGGTGAGTGTCAGCTGTTAATCCCCTGATTACCCTGACTGTGTGAGTGACCGGTTAGCATTTCCGTCGTTCAGGGCCTCCAGGTCTTCTATGCTGGTTACCCGGTATGTTTTTGACCTTATCATGATTATTTTTTTAATTTGTTTGCACATTCTGCATGAACAAATATGTGCATATAACAGAGTACCCTGTACAAGAAAATGAAGACAATTATGTATATCTACCCAAAATTTCGAGTTGAATATAATTACATATCTCGCAGCTCAGCCTCACCCACTTTGGGTGCTACTGGGTGGCGAGTCGGCCAGGCGACTCCGCTACACATTTACTTGCCATTTCTATGGATATTATACGTACCTCGTTATCCCTTGCAAAGATATTATTTCTCGTTTCTGTTTGCTCAGCGATCAAATCACTTAGCGATCTGTATTTAGGAATGTATCCCGATCGCTAAACAGCACATCCCTGTACACTCTTCCTTGAATCCTCTAAACACTTAAATGTCCAGTTAAAACCTGTTTCCAAATGATTAATTCAAGATGAAAATAACTTTAAATTAATCTGCTCTATAAATACAATTTTTAGGTGCAATACATACAAGACTCAAATCTGGACTCAAAATGAATTAAACAAAGAAATTCATTTTCTTCTCTCATGTTCTTGATTGAGAGTGAACCATTTTGAAGTGCTATACTGTATGTGTCTATTAAAACATTACACAGTGCAATTAGGATACATCATTAAAGTACAGTACATAAACTTGTTTGTTCATGTGTAAGTGAAATGAAATGTACATTGATTGGTATGGATGGTAACAGAGCTTTCCTTGTAAGCTTTACTTAATGACATCTCTTATCCCTAATGACTCACTCCCTTCTGAGTGTTTGGCTGCAAGTGTACAGCCTCCAGACCATCTTCTGTCTCCTAAACAATATTTTCTGACAAAAATTATATGAAGCATATTGAAAAGTTTACAAAAGAAAGTTATATATAAGGAAATCAAATGAATCAAAGGAAGAGCTCATTTGTTACTATTATTTCTATACAAAATATAATAAAAAAAAATATTAACACATGTTACTAATCTTTTGCATTATGAGGAATGACACCAGACAATGAACTCTGTTTACCACCATTTGAAACCTGGCAAATAGAAA